GGCCCCTGTGCACATAGATTTTCATGCCCAGTTGTGCATCCTTCTTCTCCCCCTCTCTCCCCTTTTCCTCTCTCTCCCTTACTTCCGTCTCATTTCCCTGGGGTCTTCTGTGTACAGCCTCTGTGGAAGTGTGGACTAAGAATAGACACAAGCCCAGGCAGGCTTTACGCCTCATCATGTACTCTTATCAAGGAAACAAAGCAGATACGTTTCCAGCTGAAATCTCCAGAAAGTCTGTGACCATACCACCCTGAAGTCTCAAGAGCCCATGGCCCTTTTACGCTGAAATCTCCAGAGCATCTTACTGTCCATAAGGCAGACACTTGAGGGAAGCCAATGGTGCGCTTTCCCTCCCTCTGTCAACACATGTTGCTTGCCATCATACTTCTGGGAGGACGATTACCTGACCAACTTCATCCCTCCCCAGGCAGGATTAGGAATGATGGACAAGGTCTCTGATGTTTGGGAATTCACACCCCCCACCGAACAGGAGGAAATAGGGGCACAAAGTATCCCCCAGATACTAGGAAAAGGGTATACATTTGTCCCTTGAACTTCCTGGTAACCAATGAGCAAGGAAATCAGTTGTTCCATGGGTTATAGTGTCCCATGAGATTTAGAAAATTTCCCCAGAATTGCCCGGCGGCGGTGGCGGTGGTGGTACACGCCTTTAATCCCAACACTGGGGAGGCAGATGCAGGAGGATCTCTGAGTTTGAGAACAGCCTGGTTTACAAAGTGAGTTCCAGGACAGCCAAGGTTACACAGAGAAACCCTTTCTCGAAAACCAAACCAAACCAAAAAAAAAAAGAAAAAGAAAAAAGAAAAAAAAAAAGAAAGAATAGAAAAATTCCACAAAATCATAGCAGTTATTTCTCCTGTGTGACCATGTGTATTGCTCTTAAGAAGACAATCTGGAGAGAAGGCTCAGTGGTTAAGAGCACTGACTGCTCTTCCAGAGGTCATGAGTTCAATTCCCAGCACCCACATGGTGGCTAACAAACCATCCATAAGAGTATCTGATGCCCTCTTCTGGTGTGCAGGCAAACACACAGAGCACTCATACACAAGAACATAAATAAAGTTAAAGTTAAAAGAGAAGACAGCATTACCTACAATTAACTACTATCACCACTACTGCCAATACTGCCCTCAAGGCAAACTCATGATAAATCCAATGTTTATTAGTATTGACAAACGAAGAAAATGTATGTAGTTTGCTCTGAGTCACATAGCCAAGAAGTCTGACTTTAAGTCCTGGTACTTGAACAATGTGTCTTTTTATTTTTGAAGATTTATTTATTTTGTTATTCTGCATGTGTGAATGCTTTGCCTGCTTCTATGTTTGTGAACCATGTGTGCGCCTGGTGCCCACTGAGGTCAGAAGAGAGCACTGGATCCTGTGGGACTAGAGTTAGTAGACAGCCACCATGTGGATGCTGGGAATTGAACCTGGGTTCTCTGTGAGAGCAACAAGTCTTCCTAACTGATGAGCCAACTCTCTAGTGTCTAAATCTGTTATGATTCAGGTTATGATCTCAGGGTCTCTGGTTTTTCCATCTTAGCAAGAAAGCAAACCAATCAGAAGAAAACCACTGTAAATAGTCACTGATGTTAAGAAATAAATCCAGGGTCTGGAGAGATGATGGCTCAGAGGTTAAGAGCACCTGATGCTCTTGCAGAGGTCCTGAGTTTGGTTCCCAACATCCACATATTGAATCATGCCATCCATAATTGGAGTTCCAGGAGGTCTGATGCCTTCCTCTGACCTCCGCAGGCACTGGACACACATGTAGTTCACATACATGTGGGGAAAACATACATCTAGGCTGGGCATGGTGCACATAGTCATAGCACTCGGGAGGCAGAGGCAGCTGGATCTCTGTGAGTTCGAGGTCAGCCTGGTCTACAGAGTGAGATCCAGGATAGCCAGAGCTACACAGAGAAACCCTGTCTTGAAAAAAAAAAAAACCAAACCAACCAACCAAACAAACAAACAAACAGAAAGGAATGGGTGAAATGCATAATGATAAGGGAGAAATAGAATGGAGTATTATTCCACCACAAAAAAGAAGTGTGCTATTAGAGTACTCGCTGTGTAGACCCGAGTTCAAATACTGAGCACCCATATGGAAGCCAGGCAAGGCCGGAAGCATTGGCAACACAACCGCTGGGCATCGGAGATACACAGACTCAGGGAGCAGTCTGACAAAAATGGTCAACTTCCACTCCGGTGAGAGGCTTCTCACGGAAATCAGACGGGCAGTGAGAGAGCAAGACCCCACACATGCCCCTCTGGCCCCTGCATTTTCATGGGCACAAGCACCCACACACGCATGTGCGCACACGCACGCATACAGTACTAAACACACATGAAGGAATGAGAGACTAATGTATTCTTCATCATGAACCTGGAGTTATGTAAGTTATGTAACTTGGTGAGCATATAATACATACTTCTTTTCAAAGATCCATTTCTTTTATTGCACGTGAATGAGTGGTTTGCCTCTATGTGTATCCATGTACCACCTGCACGTATGCCGTCAGAGGCCAGAAGAGGGCATCAGATCCCCGACACTGAAGTGCCATACAGGTGGTTGTGAGCTGGCTGCCCTGTGGATGCTGGCACCTGAACCCAGGTCCTGGGGGGCGGGGAGCCAGGGCTCTGACTGCTGAGTCATTGATACAGCCCCTCTCTACATGATCAAGCTTGAACGTTTAACCCTGCTTCTGTGCCCTGACCACCCCCTCCCCACCCACCCTTGCCGTTGACTGGCGTATAGTCGTTTACCATCACACCTGGTTTTACGTGGTGCTGGGAATGGAGCACGGTGCATCGAGCATGCTTATCGAGAGCGCTACCAAGCTGACGACAGCCCTGCATCTATTTTTTCTATAGCATCATTTCCTTTACTTTTTTTCTTCGTCCTAGTAAATTTTGTTCATTGCTAGGGTCTGAGAGACCGATGTTAGGTATCTCCCCAGGAGGGAGATTTTTCTTTTAATTTATATTTTAAATTGTTTTATTTATTTGTGTGTGTGTGTGTGTGTGTGTGTGTGAGAGAGAGAGAGAGAGAGAGAGAGAGAGAGAGAGAGAGAGAATGAAAAATTAGTTGAGAGCTAAGCCATGAGCTAAGGCCTGCCCTGCTCTCAACATGGGTTCAGGGACACTGATGCTGATACGGGAGTCATCATTGTCCTGTGAACCTGTCGAACAGCTGTAGGCATGCAGGTGATGACTGTGGGGGGGGGGGAGTGTTTGTGGGTTCCTAAAGATCCCCTGGAGCTGGAGGTACAGTTATGATCCCCCTGATGT